GCCCCCCGCAGTCGTAGCCCACCAGGCAAAATGCCGGGAGAATGAGCAGCAATAGAGTGGCGACGAGGGCCAAAAGGTTAACTGCTAGTCGTTCCATCTTAGCGCGCGCTGGTTGTGGTACTGGCGCGTTGGTGGTCGGTCAGTTGCTTCCGCTGAGCCCGGGGTGGGGGTCAGCATCGTCGGGCAGATGTGCTCCGCGTTCTCCGATGTAGCGCAATTTTTTGAGTTTATTCCCATGAACTATTCGTGCCTTAAGCTAAGACTCCACGTATGTGGTGAGCAGCGGCAAATGCATAAGATGACCAATCAGAAGCCAGGAGGACTCCTGCCGGATGCGGCATGCGCTTGGCTCCTAATTGGTCACCGCATGCGTTTGCTGCTTCTCACCGCATACTGGAGTCTTAGTTTTATCTCTACCTATAGCTATCTTAATATTATTATAAAAGTTGGTAAAGTGCTCTTGATATAAACATAAACGAAAAGAAAAGAGACATTGTAAGAGTCATATGGAATAAATTTAAAAAGTTAAATAAAACAAAACAGTCATATATAATAAAACCACATCTTACAAAAAAAAATTACGAAATATACATTTCAAAAGAATACAAATTTTATAAAAAAAACTACTTTGCGAACGTTTCAGCTCATAGATTGAGTCTTCTTCAGACGAGAATACATATTCTTAATATTATTATTATCTAAAATTTCCAGGACCTCGTGTGGTCCTGTGTATTGGTCAGAAAATTTCTTTTTATTGGTTCTTTTAGCAGGTAAACCCGATCGCCGCATTTGAATATCTGAGAGTTTAATTTTTTATCGTAATACTGTTTTGATCGTTGTTTTGCTCGAGTAAGGTTTTCGTGAGCGATTTCTTGTATATCGTGGAGTCGGTTGAACAATGAGGTCAGGTAATCCGCGTAAGTGACGTTTAAATCGCTCGGGTCGCTCGTTGATATTCGAGCTGTTTTGCCAAATACTAATTTATGCGGTGTAAATTTCGTACCCTCGTGTATGCTGGTGTTGTATGAGAATATCACTAACCTCAAGTGTTCATCCCATTCATTGTCTCGATCTGTATACTGCTTAAGATATTCGCAGAGTACATGATGACTCCTTTCAATCGAGCCGTTCGATTGAGGGTGGTATGCGGTAGTCTTAAACTGGGTGATTAAAATTTACGTGCTATAACGCGCATGAGAGCATTTAAAAAATTCGACCTTTGGTCTGTGAGAACGGCTTTAGGTGCGCCATAAATACAGACGAAATCGCTCATGAACGCGTTAGCCACATCGATGGCGGTGGTCTGTTTCAATGGAACGGCAAGAGAGTATTTAGTTAGTAAATCTTGTATTGTCAGTATGTATACGTTTCCTTTCCGAGTCTCAGGTAACGGTCCCATAATGTCCATGGAAACCTTTTCAAATACCGCGCTCGGGTATCGGTTAAGATCATTGGTTGACGAGTTTTCACGCGAACTTTCAACTGACAATTTCTACAATTTTGGATATAACGTTGGATGTCGGTTTTCATATTCGGCCATTGATATCATTGTTTAATACGCATATATGTTTTGGTAATGCCTTTAATGTCCGCCCGCTGCGGAGTTATGGTATTCATTAAGAGGATCCTAAAACCTCCTGTATTACCGATTAAACACATAAATTTTGTATCGTAAATACTTTTTTTGTCGTTCACAGATTCGAAAATCCTTTCCCAGGAGTAAAGTATATACATTACTATGTGCCTGTGAAGTAGAATCTATATTGAAAACGACAAAAAATTTCGAAATTGATGTCTTTTTTACCATTTTTTAGTTCAATATGGCGCTCCAAAGCTGTCATGTCGTAACAACATTTGTTTCATATAAAAGCTGCGCAATTTGTACTTAAGAAATAGTAGTCCACAGTCACATAGTTTGCATGAACAAACAGCGTCGAGTGCTTAGAATTAGACTTACAATTAGATACTTTATCGCGACGAATTTACGATACGAAAATTTACAGGTAATGCGACTGCGTGCATCACTGCGTGATATATTAGTGTGATAGTATATAAAAGATATGTCGATGTGTTGTAAAACAGCGACATCTAGCGATTTCGTTAGACTTCGAGCTTTGCTTTAAGATCTCCTTAAGGATTTGTAGGCGATCGCTAATCGGAGATGTCATAATTTGCTTGGTGCAAATTGAAATTTTTATGTCATGGTTGTCGCGAATTTGATTAACTGTTATACGTTTACTATTGTATACTGATTATCATATTTAGTTTAAGTAGAGCGTGAAGTTGATTGCATATTAGTACGGCAGAACGCTACCTCTAGTCGAATGACACCAACAGCGTATGCTGCAAAAAAAAGAAAAGAAAGGAAGAAAAGAACACACAGTCGTTAACGAGCATTAATGGCTCACTTTTGTATACACGCGGTCGCAAATGCAACGAATTAAATATACGAGGATATCAGTCTAATATATTCCTACGTAACCATTCAACATTGGTCCTTCGAGCCGGATAAGAATCCAAGAAGTACGATCTCGACACAAAGAGGATCCCGAGCAGCAAGAGTGTCGGACAACAAGATATCTGAACTTCGACGCAGCAACGCGCGATGTCGGGACTTTGAGAGATCACAAGGCGCATTAGCATAACGAATTGGTTAAACAATCGAGTCAAAATGAGCAACGAAGACAAAGTAATTTTGTTAAAACGAAAACACGCAATTATAAAAGCAGCGTGCACGCAATGCAAAAATTATATCGAAACAATGGAAATTACACCAGAGAATGTTGCGCAAGCAAAAACTAGGTTAGAGAAAGTTGGTCGCAGTAAGAAACAATATAATCAGAGTTAGAATTGTTAGTTGAGAGCGAGACCGTTGACAGAGAGGGTTTCGAAGCGAACTTTAAGTAGCAAGATTCAATTAATCATAAGTAGCGTCAACATCGAATTACCGACATATTTGAATAATTCGGCGCCGAGATCGCGTTCTGATGGTAACGTATGTTACCCAAAATAACTTTACCGGCATTTTCTGGTTCTTACGATGAATAGATGCCTTTTCGTGACACATTCTATTCGTTGGTGCATACAAACACCACGTTATCGAATATGCAACGATTCCATTATTTGAAATCCTCGTTGGCTAGCGGGGCGTCGGAAGTGATACATTCGTTAGAAATTACAGAAAATAATTATGAGCACGCATGCGTCATGCTCTACGACAATAAACGGCTCATAATACAAAATCACCTTAAGGTCATTTTCGAACTGCCAAGAGAGGCACAACTAAAAAGAGTTCAGTTTTATTCAGACAAATCATAGATGGTACATTAAAACATATAAGAGCGTTAAAGGCTCGGTCGTCCAACAGATGCCTGGGATGTGTTAATATACTTAGTAACGACAAAGATTGATATATTAACATTAAAGGAATGGCAAACGAGTTTAACGGCTGCAACGACACCTAGTTTTAAGCAAATGACAGAATTCTTGTTACGCAGATGTCAGGCGTTGGAAGCGGTTAGTAAGAAAACGGTTACGTCAATCCCAGCCAACGCTGATTCCAAAGTAATTAAAGCAAAAAATACAGCGTCATTTCTAACAAACGTCAAGGAGAAATGTCCCATATGCAATAATGAGCACTTTATCTTTCATTGTCAGAAATTTTTAGGCCATTCCACAGATCAAAGGTTTCAGCAAGTCAAGAACTATAAGCTATGCATCAACTGCTTACGCTCTAACAATCATCAAATCAGAGATTGCAAGGCACGATCTTGTAAGCATTGTAGCAAAAAACACAACACACTATTACATCGTAGTACGGTCGCAGAATTCATATCATCAGAGAACGATGCGGTCAAAGAAGATCATGCGCAAGATACAGTTATGGCAACCTCGTCTTGGAAAAATGCAGTATCAAATGCAACACAGGTACTGCTGTCAACAGCATGGTAAGGGTATACGACCGCAGAGGTAAGAGCCACAATTGTCGTGCCCTTCTAGATAATGATTCCCAATCACATTTTATAACAAAAAATCTAGCAAGTCGATTGGATCTAACAACAAGGCAAATCAACGTATCAGTATCTGGAATTGGAAATGTAACGTCTCAAAAAAATAACATAGCAAGGCTCAAAATAGGTTCAAACTATAATGCCTTCCAAGCAACCATGGATTGCATGGTGATAGATCGTATAACCAACAAGTTATACGATCAACAACAAGGCCAACTACATCCCGAAAAACATAAATTTAGCAGAACCTAAATTTCACATTCCAGCGGACGTCGACCTACTGATCGGAGCAGAAATTTTCGGGTAACTCACATGTGTCGGTCAAGTCAAGCGAATCAATAATCAAGTCGTTTTACAGAAAACACAGCTTGGCTGGTTAGTGGCCGGTAAGGTAAGCACAGCTACCAAGACAGTGGGGATTTCACACTGCCACTTGAGCATAACAACGATGAATTAGACAAGAAGCTAACACTGTTCTGCCATATCGAAGACTGCAGCAACAGTCAGGCATACACGAGAGAAGAGAGGTCAAGTGAAGAATACTTTCGTTAAACTACTCGAAGAAACGAGCAAGGTCGTTTTATCGTCAAGCTTTCAACCAAAGAAAAGGAACTCGAACGATTAGACAAATCGAAATCAACCGCAACCAAGAGATTCTATTCTTTGGAAAGGAAATTTAGGCAACAACTGAGACTAAGACAAGAATATGTGGAATTTATGAAAGAATACTTATCGCTCGGACATATGCAGAAGATCAAGGACGATCAATAAGTCAGCGATCATACATATTATTTACCACATCATGCGGTTATAAAGCAATCAAGCGTCACCACCAAGCTGCGCGTGGTATTCGACGCTTACTGCAAGGCAAGCAGCGGGATTTTGTTGAATGACGTTTTAATGACAGGACCTACGGTATAGCAAGATTTATTTTCTATTGTAATCAGATTTCGACCATTCACATACGTATGGAATGCCGATATAACCAAAATGTATCGGCAGGTGATGGTAGACACAGCATTTACGCCTCTGCAAAGGATAGTATGGCGTGAAGAGGAGGATCAAGATTTGGAAACCTTCGAATTACTGACCATCACATATGTCACATCATCGGCGTCGTTTTTAGCCATCAGATGCTTGAAACAATTGGTCGAGTTGGAAGCAAGGCATCCTCGGACGACGGAAGCCATTGCTCGAGATTTCTACATGGACGACTTATTAACGGGAGCCGATTCTATTCATGAAGCAAGGTTCTTCGAGATCAAATCATAGGCTTGTTAACGAAAAGATGTTTCCAATTGAGGAAGTGGTCTTCCAATTCTAACGAATTGCTAGAGGAATTACACGAAGCAGTTGACTTGGATTCATTGCTAACAATCAATAAAGAAGCGGACTATCGCACCTTGGGTTTACAGTGGTGCTTAACAGGGGACCATTTTCAATTCACAGTACCCACTACGAATAACAAGGAACGGGTGACAAAAAGGACCATTATATTTTAAATCGCCCAGATATTTTGTCGGGCCAATGCTCACAAAGAAAATTCTAATACAACTACAGATTAGAACGCATCGGTTCCAGTGGATATACATACTGAATGGTCACAATTCCAAGAAGAATGTTAAGTTCTAAATGCCTTAATAGTATCGAGGCTAATTATCAATTGTCCGTATGTGGAAATCCAACTACATGGTTTCTGCGACGCAAGTACACAAGTGTACGGCGCGTATGTCTACTTTAGGGTGACTGACAAGCATGGAAAACACTTCGTGAAATTAGCGTGTTCGAAATCTAGTGTAGCTACATTAAAATGCATATCGCTACCACGACTAGAACTATGCGGAGCCGTCTTGCATGCCAAACTAATCGGCAAGGTGGAGAACACGGTGCCGAGGAATTTCAATCGTCAGATTTTATGGTCGGACTCAACTATCGTCTTAGCATGGTTGAAGTTCGAGAAACTTCAATACATTCGTAGCAAACAGAGTGAACGAAGTACAACAGCGCACTACTGACCAGGAGTGGCATCACGTACCGTCAGAGGACAATCCAGCCGATCTCATTTCCAGAAGATTTGTTTCCCGCACAATTTATCAATGCGTCGATATGGTGTAAGGGTCCAGGATGGCTGCAATTGGACAGCACCGAATGGCCTCAGTTACCTGAGATTGAGGTGGACTCTTCTTTACTTGAACAGCGTCAAGTAGCAACACATTCAATCACGGTCGCTCCACAAGGAGACGAGATACTCTCAATATACACTCGATACTCCGAGCTAGACAAATTCATACGCATCACAGCATGGTGCCTGAGATTTCATACAAATTGCAAAAACGGGAATAGAATCACGGGACCGTTAAACAGCAGCGAACTAAATGTCGCCTTAATTCTATTGTGTAAACAGATGCAACAGTCAGCATTTAAGGCCGAAATTCAGCAATTAAGCAACCAACAAAATTTAGCTGCGAAAAGCCTACTGTTAGGTTTGAATCCATTTTTAGACCAAGAAGGGGTCCTTTACGTCGGCGGAAGACTGAAGAACTCTATGTTAACATACACAGTAAAGCATCAGTTATTGCTACCGTCAAATCATGTGTTGACAAGATTAATCGTACAGTATTATCACAAGAAGAATCTACATGCCGGGCCACAATCTACATTAACAACAGTTCGGCAAAAATTTTGGCCGCTTGCAGCAAAGTGTGTCACACGTAAGATCGTACGTAATTGTGTGACCTGTTTTGAGCCAAGCCGCCGATTTCGCAAGCAAAGATGGGTGATCTACCGGCGGCTCGCGTGCAACCATCCAAAGCCTTTCATTTATGCGGGCGTGGATTATGGTGGACTGCTCTACATCAAAGAAGGTTTCGAAACGCAAGATCAACCAAGGCTTACATTGCACTGTTCGTATGCTTTGCGACAAAAGCTGTACACATCGAATTAGTCAGCGATATGTCGTCGGAAGCATTCATAAACGCTCTCAAACGCTTCATATCTAGAAGAGGAAAGATAGCCAACATTTATTCCGACAATGGAACAAACTTTGTCGGGGCCTCACGCGAGCCCCCAGCTTCAAGAGTTGCACAGATTACTCAGTTATAAACAACATATAGAACCCTTACAGAAGTACTTAAGGATATCTTGGCATTTCATCCCGCCCAACGCTCCTAATTTCGGCGGACTCTGGGAAGCTGGTATCAAGTCATCTAAAACGCACCTGAAGAAGGTTGTAAGGCAAGCAGCATTGACCTATGAGGAGATATACACCTTGTTAACACAAATCGAGGCAGTGTTAAATTCTCGTCCGATCACTGACTTAACAGAAGATCCTAACGATATCTCTTTTCTCACTCCAGGTCATTTCTTGATCGGGGAGCCTTTAAACTATATTCCAGAGTCTGACATAATCGAAGTCCAGACCAATTAATTGTCACGTTGGCAGCGGGTGAAGCAGATGCGACAACAATTTTGGAAAAGATGGAGTGTGGACTATCTCCATCAGTTACAACAACGTACCAAGTGGAAAACTAGCAAGGATCGGCAGCTACAACCGGAGCAGTTGGTCCTGATACGACAGAACGGATTAGCACCGATGCAATGGATGCTAGACCGACCCAGATAACCAAGCCTGCGACACCCGTACAAGATACCATTATCCTACTGCTACTGTACTGCCACGAGATGGGGGTGTATGGCGTAACTGTACAGTAGCAGTACAAAAAGTATACATAATACTATAGTACAACGTATCAACATTGTACCTGTACTGCGTACTATTTGAAAATTATGATCGATCATGGCTGACAACTGCAGTACCGTATCAATACGTCGTACTATTATCGACAGAAAAGAGACTGAGATTGACAGTGATGCAATTTCAAAAACTTGTTATTATTTGTGTATTATTATTTGATGTATCATTTTATCCTTTAAGGGGATCCTAAAACAACGGGAATGACCGACAATTACTTAACCATTTTCTCCGAATTGGCTTTATAGATCATGAAAATTTTTTACACGATGAAAGTACACATCAAAATGAATGGGTAACGCTAAATTTGATTACAAAATTGGAGAAAAAAATAAAAAATTCACTTATTTCAGCTCTCACAGCTGTCACTTGAGGTTATAATTTACTTATTGTAGAAATTCTGTAGGTCGTACATACCAAATGATACCCTCGCGCAAAGTGTATGACGTGCACAAATAATCCTAAGCTTGCGAAATTGTCATCTAAGGTCTAACAAAAAAGATAATCGAAAATATTTGTTTCACGTGTAATCGTTTCTCTAGCACATATAAACGATAGTAAACAGCACGAAACGTTGTGTATCAAGATGGTACAGTAGGGGAGACCGAGGTGGGTTGAAACAATTTTTACGTTTTCCATCATAATTATGTCAAATTTAATGTTAGGATTAAAATGTTTTATTTTTTTAAATCCTTGATTCATCCTTTATTAATTCTTAAAAGTAAAAGATTCAAACCTTGCTACTAGTTTTTGAAAAATAGGCTTTTATAAAAGTACTTCAACTGTTGCAACCCGCCTAGTATCGAGGTAAGTTGAAACAGATAATGTTTGTATCAAAATTAAATAATATGTATGTATTAATTGATTTTTATTTCGATTAACATTGTTAGATACTTATAAGGGACCTTTTCGAAGAGTAACATATAGATATTTATTAATAAATATTAATAAATAATAAATAATATTAATTATACCAGAAGGTTTGTGGGTTATCGCCGTGTCTTTCTTCATTATTGATGCCTTCTGGTATAATTGAAGAAAATATCAGTGAAAGCCTTGAAAGCGTAAATAATTAATATTAATAAATATTAATATTAATAAATAAATAATAATTTAAAAATTAATTCTCGAATTTAGGCTGGAGTCCCATGAAACGTATGACCGCGTATCGCGTAATCAATAAAACAATGGCTTGCTGTTGTGATTTCTTTTTTTTTGTACGCGTGCGAGCAATATGAGTCTCATATGAGGACGCATCTGTGTGGCGATATGCACTCACATCGTACGATTATTCGCACGTGCGAATGATCCGCACGATGTGCACGCACTATGATATCACTGCAGTGCGAGCATTTTGTTATCTGGGTACTGTGTACCAATAATGGTGTACCAGTAATGTACGCTTTAGGTACGCACGTACGTGATAGGTACGGTACTGGTACACATAGTACGCCGTACTCTCACCATACCAATACTGTGGAAGTATTTTGTTATCTGGGGAGTAATAAAGATTCACACCGGATCAGACGGGATCGCTCGAGTCGCAACAGTCCGAACTGTCAAAAGCAAATTAGACCGACCATTAATAAAATTATGTATACTTCCCTTAGAAATGTCGTAATATTTTGAAACGAGGATTTATAATTACGCAATAATCCATGTTTATTTGAATCACAGTAGCTAGAATTAAAGTTAATTATAGTTGTAGTTTCCTTTTAGTTGTTTAAGAACAGCGTGCGAGTCAGTAAGTTTGAATTTATGTTTTGAAAGCAGCACCTTTCAAGGGCAGCGGGATGTTATGAATTTGATTAACTATTATACGTTTACTAATGTATGTATACTGTATCATATTTAGTTTAAGTAGAGCGCGAAGTTAGATTGCATGTCAGTACGGTAAAACGCTACCTCTAGCCGAGCGACGCCAACAGTGTATGCGCAAAAAAAGGAATGAAAGGAAGAAGAGAACACACGGTCGTTAATGAGCATTAATGGCTCACCTTTGTACACATGTGGTCGTAAACGCAACGAATTAAATATACGAGGATATCAGTCTAATATGTTCCTATCTACGTAACCATTCAGCAATGGTCGTGGAATGTAACTAAGATGTCTAATTCAATGCTATGATATTCCGTTACTATCACTTTTACACACAGAAACGGATGAAAAGGCGAGCTCATTGATTATGTCTAACACAGTGATATGAGATCGCCTCTATCATCAATTGCTCTTCTGTCATCCCCGATGTGCGTTCGCCAATTATTAACACGACAATGTATCGATTCTTATCACTAATAAATATCGTACGTCCGAGGTGTTTTCAATTCGCGGCAATCGATTCTGTTCGGTGAGCATGGTTTTCATCATACGGTATAATAACTACATCTCTTCATATAATGAACAGGAAATCGTTGTTCATTCATATTTGCAACGCATTGTCGTTGCATTATATTTTGTATTACACAATTCAACACATGTTATCCACATTCACTTTATTTTAACAAATGGACATAATTTATATCTATTTTATAATTTAGTTTTACTATTGTTTTTGGTAAGTGTTTCCTTAAAAACTTAAACATTCACATACCATATTGTATAGCGTTACATTAATTTTACAGAAATTTGTTAACATGCTAATTATCAATTTTTCAACAACAATATTATATTTGACTATTGACAATAATTTTATCCATGAAGAAGACAATGTGTAGTCCGAAGAGGACTCAATGTAAGAGTTGAAACTTGTTACTTAACGTTCATCATGTTTTTAGTTTTAAGTAATTTTTGTAATTATATTCTATTGTTTTTCAAATTTAGAATTAAATATGTGGACTTATTTTAAATATAATTTTACTTTTGACTCTTACTTCGCCCTTTCGATTTGTATTATTGTTATACTAAGAGTCCTTTAATATTTTCATCTGATTTGAAATGTGTTCCGTGAGAATGTCGCATGTTCATAATCTCAAACAAATGATTAAATATTTGTATAAACTCCACAGTTGCTTCACTTCCACTAAAAGTTGAATAATTTTGTCAGTTTAAGAAATTTATAGCATCCGCAACACCACTGCTAATTGTTTGTACAGCTAGACAAACATTCATCTTTCTTTTAAAATAATACATGTGCTCGTTTGATAATTTATTCGCTAATTTGAATTTAATTTTGTCTTGTACAGCAAATTTCGTACAAAAGTATAAGAAATTTTACCTGTTGATGAAACAATGTCACTTTTTTCCATAAAGGTATTACGGTATAATTTTATCATATGAGCCGGATCAGGAATGAAATATATTTTTATATTTTGTTGACAAAGGTGGAAAAAATATGTTTTCATGTTATCATCTTAATCAAATGCAAGATCACATCCTATAACATTCGCATAGTAGCAAAATTTGCTTCTGTACCGTCACAAGTAATAGAACGGATTTTAATTTCGATATTGTATAATCGTTTAATTGCTTCTAATAAGAAGATACTTTGCATCGTACCATTTACGCCACTAACTAGAAGATAGGCAATTGGTAATTTGAATTTTTCGCGATAAGATACAATTTGTAAAACTAAAGCTTCTTTCGCGAGTACATCTTTATCTGCATTTAAAATATCACCATAGTCGAATTTACCACAGATTTTGTCTATACCTTTATCTAAAATATTCTGAGAACGTATCGACATACCTTGTAGGGTTAATCTATGATTAACCCTACATTTTGTAAATAACTATTTTTTTCTTCTTAAACTGCTTTTTCTAAATATAAGAAAGGGCCCTGCAGAAAATCCGGATCACAATTATAAGGAGCCAACCATTCTTGCAATGTTGCAATGTGCGATAACTTCAATTTTTCCCTTACGAATTCGTATGCTTCTGGACTATAAAAATGCAATGTCATCGCAAATTGTTTAATACTATCATTATAAGTTGGTCTCAATGAAACACTGCCCGATATTTCGTTCCACAGAAGTTCTCTTTTATCCTCTGATATAAATTTATGTTACAGAGCCTCTTCTAACAATTTCATATGATTACCATCGTCTTGATATTTTATTTTATATTCTTCCAGTTTCTCTACTTTTGCTTCAGATCTTCTTAGACGTTTTATCAATTTTTTATAATTATTTTGCAAATAGTTATCATAAATATTAGTAGTACATGTTTGAGTACCCATATTTCTTGTTAATTTGTTTT